ATTTCTAAAATAAAATATTTTAATTTAGTACTCTAAAGCATGAAATAAAATACTTTAATCTTGTTTAAAGCATTGGGTCATCTCTGAAGTATGCTATTTTATTCATTCTTTTATGTAAATCTTAAACTTTCTATCTTCGAATATATATTGAAGGAAGTTAAAATAAATACACATTGTAAATAATGGTGATAAAAAATATTTCTAATAATATTTTTAAATATTTTAATTAATTAATTAATTTAATATTTTTAATATTTTTTTGCGAAAAAAAACTGCGACTGTATTTATGGAATGATTCAGTATTTCTTATCTCACAATTAGTAATAATCCAAAGAAGAAAGTACTTAGATGCATAGTATATTTTTAGAAAAATCAGTTTTATCATGCTTTTCAATATACAGTATATAAAAGGAAATTAGAAAACTATTTATATTCATAGATGTATTGGATGTAAGTTATTATCTTTAACTATAATATTTAAAATATTAAATATTTCTTCTTTTGGAATAAGAAAATAAATTAATATATTTTCAATACTCTTCAAATAAAATAATAGTTTAAATCAAATACTATTTTACTCTATCAAAATATTTTATTTTCAAAGTTATATGTATAGCTTAAAATAAATACAATTATTTAGTATTTACTATTTAAAGCAATATTTTGCCCAGCTCTGTAACTTAAGTAAACTGAAGTTATCAATGCTTTGTAGTTCAGAAAGTTTATTTTTTTTTTTCGTACATGCACTACTTATGTCGTAATGTATTTATGTGTTGGAAGATATGGTCCAATAGACTTTTTTGTACATACAATTACATTTCTGACGATGGTTAGATATTTATCATTGTTGCTTTATTTTTATAAATTCTTTTATTCCATTCTTCTATGATTTCTCGCTTCGATATTTAAGTAATACATAATTATGTTTACGTCATGATTGCAAATGTGTTGATTGTTGCTATATAATGAACTTGTAATACCTTTACATTCACAAGACCTTTCTTGCACCACTTTTTTGTACGTTCAATAATATAAATCTTTTTCTGGATTTACTAAATATAAAACCATCAATAAAAATTTTTATTTTTTTTTCAACTAGCAACTTACTCACAATTTTCGACATCGTATATAAACAATTTGATATAACGTAGACTAATTGAACTGATACAGACGCTCAAGGCAATTGAATCGTAACACAGCATGAACAATTTGTCCATAAGAAAGATATGTCTATGAAAGTATATGTCGGTGAGAATTGAATGTCAATAACTAGGGATTGTGATGAACATATCTCAATGTTTAAGTTGTTTTTGAACGATCAAGTAAGTATTATGGAAATCAAAGACAATTTATTGTTTAATATAATTTTATTCGTCATATACAGAATAATATTATCTTTTTCTAAGAAGTTAGACATAACATTGTAAAATTAGAGATAATGTGAACATAAGTAAAATGATATTCTGTTGTCATATTATAATTATGAATAAGAGAGATCTCTTTTTGTTTTTAAAGCTGTAATTACTGAAAAGAAGTTTTTTGCTTTTATTTCTACCACGGAATTATTGTGTAATAATACCCTGGTAATTTGCTCTAATCGATAAGCATATTGAGAAAAGTTTAGTATACAGTGGGTATTCAGTGCACAATCTGTAACTATATCAGAGAGATTACTTCTATGTGCAGGATCGATTTTATTTCAACTGTGACTAGTGTAATAGTACTAGTACTTAATACGTAAAAAAAATTGTAAAGAAGATTAAACAAAATGTCAGAAATGTTAAATAAATATTAATATAAAATTTCTTAAAAAGAATTTTTGAAATAAGAAAATTGTTTGGCTTTTTAAACTTTAAATATAATAATTGATACGATATTTAACGTTACAGTGTCAACTTTCATGTTTCATTATTGTATATTGATAAATTGCAATTATATAATAACTATTATATTTTGTTCTAACAATATTCTAAATTAATACCGATGACTTCGAAAAGTGTCATCAATCGTCCACTGGAATATAGTTTACGTTTATTCGGTGTTTGGCCAGATTCTTCTTATTCAATATTAAAAATTATTGTATGGACGATAATAATGTCAACGTTTCTAATATTTCAATATTGGTATTGTATTATACATATTAAATCGAGTCTAATTGAATTATTAGATGGACTGAGCTATACTTTATCGAATTCACTGGTATTTCTGAAATTGATTGTTATTTGGCTTCATAAACGGTAAGATATAAGTAATTTGTATAATATACGTAGTCCTTTTTTTTATTATTAAAGAGGAAAAAAAGAAGTTGTAGAATTATAACAGAAGTTGTAACAATTATTGAAATTAAAATTTGGATTACATTAGTATTTGAACAAATGCTTAATGAAATCGAACTTTCAATACGTTTAATTTAAAGGAAATATTATTTTGGAACAGAACGTTTTATGAAATCCTGAGGACAATATTTGAAGATTGGAATATTGGTAGTACTACCGTTCAAAATAAACGAATAATGTTGGACAAAGCAATATTATCTTCTCGCATTTCAAATTTCTTAATTGGTTATTTTGCGATTACTTTCTTTTTATATGCAGGACTTGCTCTAGCATTATTTGACGAAGAACAGATTTCATCAGATTCTAAACAAAGAAAGTTTTTAATTAGAATGGAATTTCCATTCGCAGCAACCATTTCTCCGCATTATGAAATTATTCTCGCTATACAATTTATATTTGAATTTCTCATAGTTTATGGTGCAGCTACGTCAATAGCATTAATTGCAGCATTAGTAAGTAATTTAAAAATTGTATTGTTATTAATTAATTTTACAAAAAATTTATATTTATATTATTGTATAAATATGTTTAATGCACTTATAACAAAGAAGTGGAAGATGAAAATTTTATTTCTCATTTTCACAATTCATTTTATAATAAAAATATATTACATAATATATTGGCTACGTTATAAATGGTTATATTATATATTGTGCGTACTTACAGTGTTTCATAGATTTTTGTAAGGTACAAACAATACTTAATATATTTCAGTTCAACAAAATTAGACGAATTTGTCGCAGATTCTGAAATGCTGTATTAAAATAATAAACAAAATATGAAATACAAAGAAGCAACATTCTTAAACAATATTGTTTTTTGATAATTAATTATATTTTGCTTGGTTAGGATTAAACATAATTAATAATAATTATTTTGAATAAATTGGGCGTTAATTGAAATAAAATGATTAACTTTGAAACTTTTTAATTATTTGCCACATTATCACAAGTAAAAGATTTTATATTTAAAGAGATATTTTCTGAAATAATTTCTCAAACAATTTCTTTAATCAATATCAACATCAAAAATATATTATCTACGTATATATCATCAATAAATAATTGAAATAAGTGCAACTTTGAGGATGCAAGTAAATATTATGACATAAAATAATTCGGTTAATTATTAATGCTTAAATACACGTAAAATAAAATTAAAAACGTATAATTACAATAAAAGAGAAAGACTTTTAATTAATATCAAAATTTGAATTATTTATTTTATTTAGAAATGGTTATTTTATTTATTAATTCTTATTGGTTAATAGTTATTTAAATATATAATTATTTAAATAAATAATTATTTAAATTAAGGTTAGTTTGGTTAATTATTTTAATTGGTCCTGCTATAAAATTGAAAGAAAAAAAATTATGTTCTTTTGACATATCAACATAATTAAATAATAATGATAAATAAAAATTGGTGTTGTCGTCAGAAATTCTATTTTTTTACGTCATATCTATTCCTGAAATAATTAGCGACGCGATTGGCCGCCTTGCTTTCTGATTGAACCTCAAATCCTGCAATGTTAGTTGGTATCCTTTTGGTATTGTAAGGTGTACTTCATGTTAATAAATCCTGGGCTAGTCACTCAGCGATCAAATATATATACTGTTATAAAATTATATGTCTGTATAACGTGAAAACAGCAAAATTGTTTTCAACTTTAAATTTCAAGGTTAAATTTTTTTATGTTTGCATCGTATTCTACTCGTGAGGACCAAAGTTATCAAAGGAACCATGAATCGCAAATTACCTGCCCTGTTAGAAAATGTTCTTAAAGTTTCATTAGCTTTTATATGGTTTTTTACGAATAGTTAAATGTTGTGGTTTCATGAATAAATGTAAGATGTGTTATTAACGATAAAACAAGAATTAATTCTTCAATTGAATCATCTAGGATGAAATATTTTCAATGGAAGAAAATCGCTTATTATACGAGAAAATATCTGTTGAATGGTATTGAAGAAAGCATGATTTAGTATTACTAATTTTTGTACATGTAATGACGTGAATATATAAGATCATTCTCATATTTTTTTAAATGGAATCATAATAATACTTTATATAATTTAATAGTAATTCAATTCATAATTATTTTATCAATCATAATATAAGTATATAGAATGAATATAATTTGAACGGTTAGAAGAATAGAAGCTTAATAGTGAAGAATTGTGTTATGTATAAACCAAATAATAATTTTGTTACAATATGTAAATAATCTCTGTTATTTAACTATCCATGAGTAATTTTGCAATCGTTGCGTGTTTTTTT